TCCCAGCACTGGGGAGGCTAAGGCAGGAGGATCACTGTGAGTTCGAGACCAGCCTGAGCTACACAGTGAGTTCCAGGTCAGTGTCAGCTACATAGTGAGACCCTGTCTCAAAAAAAAAAAAAAAACCCAAAAAACAAAAAACAAAAAACTTTTTAGAATTATTCTTAGATTCTTTTTCCCTGCTCAGATAAAATTTTATACCACACATAAAGTATATACCTACATAATATGCTCTTTTAGAAGCCACAATTATTTTGATATCTAAGGTCCTCTACTCCCTTAAGAACCCATTATTTGCTTCTGTAGGATCGGTATCTTTTCAGTTGCAGATTCATAGTTCTTTGTAATGTCTCTATTTTTTGTGTTTGTTTTCCTTTTCCTCTGGAGTTAAGAGCTTATTTGCTCATTTTCATTCTTTTTTAAAACAAAAAATTTGTCTACAAACTACTTCTGTTCTTCTAGTGGCTAAATGGTGCTGCTTTCATTCTCTTCTAAGTTTTTGTTATATACCCTTTTATAAGAGCTATGCAGAGGTTTGCTTTACATTTCCCAAACTAAGGATTACTAGAGATGTTTTCACTGTAAACTTATTTATGTTATTAGCTGCCGGGAGTTTATTGAAATGATCTATTTTTACCACATGATCAATAGTAATGCTTACAATCTTTCAATATTTAAATTTGATGTTTACAGTAGGGTTGTGATAGATATAAATTTCAGAAATTATCTTTTGTTACTAACCAAGATTTTTAAATTAAATGAAAAACTGTAAAAAAAATGAAATAAAAAAAATGAAAAACTGGTGCTCAGTTTTAACAGATACTTCTTTTTGGAACCCATTGAGATGATCATACCCTTTTTTCTTCCTTCTTCACGTTATTTGATGATTTTGATATATTTCGTATTACTTGCCCTATACTTTCCCCTTGGAGATCTAATTTTGTACATTCTCCAAGCCATATTTGTGTATCTATGACAAGGGAGTATCACCGAAACTAAGCTAAAAATGTCAGGAGTATTATCTACATTCTTTTTAACAATCTAGAATACCTATCTCAGGGTTGAAGAGATGATTTCCCATTATTTTCTTTGCAAATTCAGGCAGAATTATCTCAGTGCTTTCTTTGACCTGAAATCTCCTGTAGGGATAGGCCTTCCTGTTTTTTCCTTTGAAAGCTTGCTTCTGTTCTCCTTAAAACTCATTCCAATCACCTCCTCTAACAGTAATGACTAAAACATCACTCTCTTATAATTCCATCTTTTAGATTCATCTCCTGATCTTTCCTTTTCCTTTCGTATCAATACTATAATCAAAGAACACACTCTTTCTAAAGAAATCTTTATTCCAGTTTAATCACTCTGCCTTCCTTTATTTATTCCTCACTGTTCACTACTTTTGACTTCAATATCTAAATATATATATGAAACAAAGATGGTTCCTACTTTTCCCTGAATAGAGCTGATTCCTACTGGTAGAGGAATCTAGGCACAACCCTTTTTAATTTCTTTCTTGGCTCTGCCTTTCCTTTCCACAAAGCCCTATATAAAAAAATTTTCTCTCCTCTTTATATATTTATGGTAAAATCCATTATTCTTCTGTGGCTGCATACGTGGAGAATAACCTTTCACACAATATAAGGGCAAGAATTTCCTAAATTTGTATTCTTAATTACAGGATTGTGGAATTTAGGCTATTGTGCCTAAAGTCTTCACCTTTGCTGTGGCTAAAGAAAAGCAGCAGAAATTGATCAGTGGTACAATATCTTCCCTCTCTCTGCAGAAAGCCTCTCGGCTACATCCATGTGATTCGAGATACAGCTATGCCCAGTACCTCTAAAAAAAAAAAAAAAATACTGGCTTGCAGGCAGACACTAGCTACCACAAACATCTTGGCCTTGAAAAAGCCAAAGAACTGAAAGGTCTAAGTCACTAAAGCATACATCCAACCTCTATACATCTTATTTTGTTCCCTAATTCCAAGTAAGAGTGCCTATTCCTCAAGATTTAACATCCAATATATACTTAAATGTGTTAGAGTTTAAAGGAGAAAGTTAATTATATCCCTTTCCCCACAAGTTTTCAACGGAACAATAGATATGTGAATCAGATCAATAAAGACCAAAATATCAGGATTTTGTTAGTGAGGTTATACCATGGTCAAAACTGGGCTAATACACTGCCTCTTCAGCCCCTCCCAATTCCTGGTCATGAGGTGACCCATCAAAAGGAAAATATGCAAAGGAAACACTTACCTGGATAGTAGCAGGAGGGGGTATCACTGCTTCCAAAGTAGGAGAGAGGTACTTTTCAGACCTGTCTCTGGAAGGCAGACCTGTTCTCAGCAAGTGTGCTTACCATAAGAAGGCAGGATTGGAGTACAGTGCTCACATATTGTAGGTAGGGAGTACAAAAGAGATAAGGAAATGTAGAGTGCATGTGTACAATGACCCTTCTCATGTCTTCATCAGAGAACAAAATCTTTTTCCTTAGATAAGTGAAACACAGAGATAAGGCAAAAAATGATATCCGAATATTGTTTCCTATTGGAAAAACAGAGGAATAGGGACAAATGACAGATTCTTGTCCCTGTGGTAGGAGCAAAGCTTGTACTCTTCTCCTGCTCCCCACAATAGGAGATCCTTCTCCCTCACACCCAAGTCTGACCTAGAATTCATTCTCAGCTTCCAACCCAGAATCCAGGAAGATTTCTATTAATAGATTCTGTTACTCAGTCATCCCTATATTGGATTTTAGGATGACAGGATGGGCTAAGGATCCAGAGGTTCAGCCTGACTCAATCAACCTCTAGACATACCTACTCACAGAGCTCTAGCTGATAAAAAAACAAAAAACACCAATAGATCTAGGAAGCTCCTTCCAAGGCATTTCTAATAACTACTCTTCAAGAATTTCACCAGAGTGAAAAGAGTGACAATAGCAACAACAGACCAAGAAAGACCATACTAAAAGTCCTGCCTCTGTTGTCAGGTTCTTCTGAGGTCCTCAGTGTCAGTATGTCAATGAAACATATGTCACATAAAGGTTGTCAGAGGACACACTCAGACAAAAGTCCTCAAGGTCAACCCAAATAAGAACAGTATTTGGGAGCTCAGGAGTCAAAAATTATTTATCACTGGGTAGTTGGAAAAGCCAGTTTTTTGTTTGTTTGAGCCCAATGCTGTGAGGGTAAATGGGAGTTTCTTTCTTCTCTGCTTCTTTAGTCCACTTATCCAGTGGATCTCCTAATGAAGGGGATAAAGGAAAAATAGCCTTCAATGGGGCCCATAGTGTCCTACATACCTAACCCTGGCTAAGAGAGTAAAGGATGACTCTTCCTGCTATCAAAAATCACCTCCCCAACTCAGGGCCGACTTTTCCCATATGTAACTCAAGGATGGTTCCACATTCCCTGCTCTACTCTCACCCAGAAGCACACTTTGGGGTCATAGACTATACTCTTTGTGTTCTTATTAAGGATCTCTCCCTCATAAAGTGCAGGAGGACTTAGCCATGTCCCAACCTTATGTTTGTATCATGCTCTCAAGGATACTGGAATGTCCAGGACTAGAAACAGAAAATTGACACTGAAATTTTAGCAGTCACAAAAAAAGTATCTCTCCCCAAATATCAAAGAAACACTCTGATTTTTAAGTCCACATGGTGTACAGAGAATGGGAATGAATGCAATCTGTTAAGAAAGGGGCTTTTGGTTTAAGTACAGTAGGCAAAGGGTTCAGGAAAAGACCCAACATTTGAAGATACACAGAACTGGAAGGAAATAGGGTAGGAAGGAATCCCAGCTGCAGGAAGATAGAGTCAAGTGTGAGGGAAAGAGTCATTACAAGGTCAGATACCTCAATACTAATCTTGCCAGAAACTCAATTTTGAAATGATATAGACTTCAGTATCTTCATCTGCAAAATAGGTGAAAGCCATTTGTTTAATCAGGTGCCTGTTATGGTCCTCTGAGATTATGGCATCCTCCACAAGTGTGATTGATGGACAAGATATCCAGGAGGGAGCCAGAGGCGATCTCACCAAGTTGGGAAATGCCTTTCAGTCTCATCTCTAAAGAAAAAGACATATATACACATTCACACATATATAAGCAGAGTGGTTAATTATTTCATCTATAGCAGCAGGGACACATAGTAGGAAAAATAAATACTATTGATGCCTGATTCCTTCATGGGCGTGGGGGAGAAGGGCCCTGAGGGTTTAAGCTTGGAGGGGCTTCACATTCAGAGAAAGATCCTATTACTTAATAAAAGCTATCACTTTGCTGCTCCTTCACCAAATGCAAAGCAGCCAGCTCTTTGGCAGAAATCAGTCTTTCACCTTGCCTCCTCCCACCCACCAACTCACCCATAACAGAAACACAATGCTCAAACCTTGAGGGAAATAAACCACTAGTTAGCCACACACACATACACAAGAACAGAATCTATACCCCTGAGATCACTTGAGGTTGGGCAGCTGGAACCACATGCCTCTGTTTCCCTGAATGTTACCCATGGTCTTATTTTTTGTAAGGTCTTATTTTATATCCACCCCACCCAAAAGGAGACTGGCCTGCCATCCAGGCAATAGCCAAATTCTGGTACTTTTATGGTTGTTTCCACATTGTTTAACTAATCTCATTCTGAGTAAGCCTGAAAGTTACCATTTGTAAGTAGAAATTCAAATTGGGAGAAGTGGTACGACGCAAGAGCATGGTTTCAAAGCATGCTATAAAACCTACAAACATACTCACACCACTCCTCAGACACCAAGAAACATCTCCCAGCCATACATCTACATGGACACTTACACAGCCTCTCCTAGCAGAGGTAGCTGGGGAAACGGGGAGGACATCAGTGTCCTATTAACCTTGAATCTTTGTTTAAAAGATACTAAAAATAAATTAGTAAACATTTCTGTTTACAGAAATAGAAATCATTTCTGTTTCCAAAGGCCTCTCACCAACCCAGTCATGGACATTTCCAAGACTGCCACCCCTGATACCCTCTCCAAAGTCCACCCTGGTGGGTGAATGAGACACCAGTCCTTTGAGACTGGGAGCTCCTCAGCTGTCTGAGAATTCCAGTTTCACATTTCTGGTTCCAGGGTGGGGAGAATCTTCAAAACTCTGCAGAGTACCATGAGTTCATCCCTTCTCACAAGTTCCTGGGGGCTGTCTTGAAGCAATCCCTACTTTTAGGATGGTATTTGTGTTGTAAGAATTTCCACTATTTTCTTGCTCCCAGTCCCTCCCCACAGTCCCACATACCCGTCTGGACCCACCCTCAGAGAGGAGGACTCAGTCTGTGCCTTGGTCTAATGACTCTAGAAAAGTGGGATGGGCAGAGAGAAAGCGGGGACAAAGACTTGGGGGGAAACGTCCTTGATGGGACGACAGACAGCAATGACTGTCCTACAAGTGGGTAGTGAGGCTGGGCACCTGGCCAGAGCCAGAGCTGGAGCCAGAGCTGGAGCTTTCCACCACACTGGTAGGTTGTGGATCCATGCGGGATGTGCGGCGACGCCCCCGGTACTCTATCATGTCGGGATGATAAGTTGGATGGCGGCGGGCGTGCTTGGTCAAGTGGTCGCTCCGGGAGAACTGCTTGGGGCAGAGCGGGCAGGAGAAGCGCTTTTCACCCGTGTGCGTCCTGTAGTGGCGGGCCAGCTCGTCAGAACGCGTAAACTTCTTGTCGCAGTCGAGCCAGTCGCAGGAGAAAGGGCGCTCACCCGTGTGGGTCCGCTGGTGGGACTTGAGGTGCGATGACTTGTAGTAGGCTTTGGTGCAGCCCGGGAAGGGGCATTGGTGGCGCTTGGCAGCAGGTGTTACCGGCCTTCTCCGGTGCGTCTGACCTGCTGCAGGGGCGGGGCTGGCCCCCGGGGCCCTGCCGGACAACCCACAGGTGACTGCGGGCGCCCCAGGGACCGCTGGAGCTCTGGGGATGGCGGGCGCGCCAAATGAGCTCGAGGGTCCAGGGACTGCTTCCGCGCT